GGGTTAATAGGGCTTACATACATACAAGTATTTTAAAAAGAATCTGAAAATGTAATGAATTTATGACAGACCATTCCTCTCCCACAGTCACCGACTGCATTGTAAAAGATATCTACAGACAAAACATTCTCCCTTAAGTTACTGGAAGTTCCCACAATGGATCACTCCAGATGTTATCCCTTCCAGGCCATTCTCATGTAATACTGGGATTATGTTGTTAGTCTGAGAAACTTCTCAATTGTATCAACAGCGCTTCCTCATGCTTTTTCTGTCAGTGAGGGCTGGTGATCAGACTAGCACAGCTTGCCGTATGTTTTTTGCATCCTTTTTTTTCAGTTGGGTGCTGCCAGTCAAATGCTTTCCACCCAAGTCAGGAACAGAAGGATTTGGGCTTAAGCAATGCTTATTCAAAGGTTCCTTCCAGGGGCTCCAAAATTACAACCATGGTGTTGCTTCAGTAGAGTCACTGCGTGTTTAAAAATGATCCTCTGGGAGAACAGACAATGCACAGTAAAAACAGAGGGCTGTTTCCTTGGTAGCCCATCTCCATGAACCCTTTTGCTACTGTGAACACTGTGGCTTAGGCTGCTTGCTTATATGCTGGGAAACTGCTTGACTTTTTCCCAGAGGAAAAAAAAAAAAAACAGGCTGTTCATGGCGGGGAACCAGAGGCCCCAGGCCAGCCCTGGAAGCGAGGAGGACTGGTGCACCACTGCAGTTCGGATGCGCTTTACCTGCTGATTGTAAGGTAAAACCTCACAAGGCTGGGAGTCAGGCTGTGTCAGGCTCTGAAAAGATGGGTATTGGTCCCTTAGTCTGAAATTTTTATAAACTCTTGCTCAGTTGTGGTCTATCCCAGAAGCTGAACTCTATCCTAAATCCAGATCAGGAGTCAAATTTGACCAGATCTCTTCCAGGCCTCAGATGTGTGATGCTCCTTACAGTTCTGCCCATGGAGGAGATGTGTAGCACCTCTGTAGATGCTTTATGGCATCTCAGTTCTCCAAAGTTTGCACAGCAGTTTAGAGAAGCACCTTTACACAGGCTCAGCAATAACTGTCCTACCTATCTCATGCCTAAAGTCACTCAGGATACATTGACACCACTACTCCCTCCTTGCTCAGAGAATGACTTTCCATGAACAAACTGAAAGAAAAGTCACAGGCCTCTAATATAAAAAAAGGGAGCTGATCCAAGCAGCACAGGTAATAAGGCATGCACAAGTAAAACCATTTGCTCTTGTTGTTATAGGTAAACAGGATATTTTGCTTTTGAAAAATAGAAGCCCCGATGGCAAAGCAGATGATATCCTTACACCATGGAGCCTGGAACATATGTGGAAGAGAAGCTGCGCTTGTGCCTAGTATTTACAGAGATCCTCCCTCACTCTGCATACAGTAGCTGCATCATGCAGCTGCAGTTATTCTTGTAGCTCATCCTTAGAGACGGTTCCCACTTTTCAGAAAAGGCTGACATACCAGATGCTATATGAAAGGCTTACACTACTACAAGGCTGCAGTTTTTCTTTACCGTATTGTGATACAATCCTAAATAACTAAACTAAAGCTAGGCTGGCCAGATGAAGGAAGCCAGTTTCACTCAGCGCTGCAGGACTTTTTTTATGATTTAGTTTGACACTTTCACTTATTCCCAGACTTGACCAACCCAACGTAGTGGTCAAGCAAACAAACCCTTGCTCTGGGTGCTTCCGGCTGCTGTGAAAGGAAGCGAGAGGTTGAAACACCAAGTGCCTGATTCTGGGTATTCATGTGTACAGCCTGCCTACGTAGGTGACTGTGGACAGAAGACCTGGGCTATCTGCAGGGCTGTGCTTAGCAGTGCACTTGACTTAAGGTGGCATTTATTTTCCATATAAAAACGCATCAGAGGCTTTTATGTCTGCTCCTTTTTAGGCTTCTGAAATAGCTACATAAAAGACAGAAAATAAGACTTTAAGAAACCCAGCAACACCCAGCAACACCCAAGGTTTGTTGGTAACATGAAAGACAACTCTTTTTCTCCCAGTGACTCAGGTATATTTTCCTGTGTGGAGGATTATTATCCAGTAACAACATGTTCTGAGCGATTTCAACCTAAAATCCTCCACAAATGCTAATCTGGTCTGCACTGAGTACAAGAATGTTTCCTGTTGTACCTCCGCTCCTCTTCCTTTCCAACACTTTTCATTAGGTTAAACGTCCCTCTGGACTGCTAGTTCCTAGTCAATTCAGAACAGACGCTGCTCATCACCAAAACGTATCTTGAGTGAACATTTTGTAACAGTAATTAAAATAATACCCACGCTACTTGACAAAGTGAATATGTGGAGCATTTGTTCTGACTTTCATGTCCCCAGGACGCCAATACCTCACAGAGGGAGCCAGGACATGTGGTTGCACTGCTGCTTCTGTACCAGGAAGAGGGAGGTAGCTTGGTCCGTGAAGTATGAAAGCTATCAAATCCCGTATTTTTAGAACTTTTGATTTCAAGTATTCACCCACAAATACATTTCATGAACTTGCTGCTTCTGAATGAGATGCTCAGCTTTTTCAATGCATTGTTAAGCCATTTTTTATGGTTTTGCATGTCTGATGGCAGTTTAGTCTTGAAGATGGACTTCAGAAGGAAGGAGGTGGCTGCAAAAGAAAGGCTCCCCTTCTGCCACTTCTGGAACAGGGATGGCAGCCCCCTCTGGTACTTAGGAATTTATTTCCTAACAAATGTCACTGAACTTCAGAGCTCATGAGGATTCTTCTTCCTTTTACTTCTTCTCTTTTAAGAATGCCTGTGGTCATCCGAGTTTAAATATTCCTGCATTTCAAACCAGCAATTTTCTTTGTTTACGCGTTAAAGGAAACAGATGGTGTTCCCACAAACTATCTAGCCCAACATTTTCAAAACATCGTTAACCACTTAATCCATGCAGAGCAACTAACAGGCACCAGGTTTGGCTCTGGTGAAACATGTAATGAGCCTACTTCAAACTTTCAGTACTGCAAAACAAAGACAACTGAACAGAAAGTTTGTTCTGTTCTTGCTGAAGACCATGCTCTTCCAAAAGCAATTACTTGGGTCTTTTCCATGCCAATGGCATGTTCCTCACCAAGAAAAAGAGCTGAATCTGCATGTACTTTGCAAAATATCCAGTCCTGTGGTTCATTAAATCCCTCTTCCTTAAATATAAGGGGAAAAAAACCCCATTCTATTTCTTCTAGGATCAAAACGGATGTTAGGCTGCAATAGAGAACATTCCTAACTAAGACAGCAACAAGACAGTTTTTGTGCTTACGGCAGATGCCCAACACTGTACTTTACATTAACAAGGACAAAGAGCAAATAAACCTACTGAAACCAACAGAATTACTCTGAATTTATAGCGGCAC